CACTAGTACTCTGTTAAAAAGAAATGGGATTTTGTACAGAAAACTATCAAAACTTAATAATAAATAAATAACCCGTTATTAAAAATCTCCACAATTAACATACAATGGCAAAATCTTTTTATATAAACTTTTTATTCTAAAGTATATGAGAATTATAATTCAATATTTTGATTTTTATACTTCAATTTTGAAATTAAATGAAATGAAAATTATAGTTTTAAAATAAAAAATTTGTTTCTTAAAGCTTCTATTGATACTGAATTATTCTATTCTGCTAGTTTGTCTGATTACAATCCGTTTGTATATAAAAACTGGAAAGCCAAAACTGATTTAAATCTGTAATTATACAAAATCAGGATAAAATTTATTTCCTAACCCTAGGTAGTATAGTTGAGCTGCGTTAATTTTGAATGAATCTCAGGAACTAAACTAAAAAGAAACAGAATATTGCAACAACAAGATACGTTGCTAGCAGCCTAGAGGCTGCCAGACATGAATGGAATGACTATATTTTTATACATATATATTTATTATTAATGTATTGCTTATTTACTAAAATTATCTGAAAGATATAAAGTGAATTTCTGGCTACGTGCTTAGCAGCAATTTTTCATATTTATATTTACGTTGGCTCAACAAAAATCCGGAAAGTGAGTTCCCAATAATTATTGTATATTATAACATATTATTATTATTATTTTATAAAATTATTGTAATTATTATTTATAAAATTATTATTATTATTATAATTATAATTATTATTATTTATTTTTATTATTATAAATTTATCCAAATAAAAATTATACAGTGTGATTTTGAGTTTAGCCAAGTAGTAACATCTATTTCGCCATGAAACTCTATAGAAACTCCCTTAAAAAAGTTGTCTACAATTTCAAATTTGTGGTATTATGTTTGTATAGATTTCTATGTTAATTTCGTGCGAAATGAGTGACCATTAGCAGAGTTATATTAATAGAAAAAAACAAAAAAATAACAGAATTTATTTTTTCAAAATTGTAAACCAGTGTAAAAATTTTCTATCAATTCAACATTTTGTATTACGTTTTTTTTTTACTTGGAGTTTTCTGTTAATTTTTCGTGCGAAATTGATGTCAGTACTAGCTTGAAACGAAAATGGTGGCATTAAAAAGAAAAAATAGAACATATTTTTTCAAAATTGTAAACCAGTGTAAAAATTTTCTATCAATTCAACATTTTGTATTACGTTTTTTTTTTACTTGGAGTTTTCTGTTAATTTTTCGTGCGAAATTGATGTCAGTACTAGCTTGAAACGAAAATGGTGGCATTAAAAAGAAAAAATAGAACATATTTTTTCAAAATTGTAAACCAGTGTAAAAATTTTCTATCAATTCAACATTTTGTATTACGTTTTTTTTTTACTTGGAGTTTTCTGTTAATTTTTCGTGCGAAATTGATGTCAGTACTAGCTTGAAACGAAAATGGTGGCATTAAAAAGAAAAAATAGAACATATTTTTTCAAAATTGTAAACCAGTGTAAAAATTTTCTATCAATTCAACATTTTGTATTACATTGTTACTACATGGAGTTTTTTTGTTAATTTTTCGTGCGAAATTGATGTCAGTACTACCTTGAAGCGAAAATAGTGGCATTAAAAAGAAAAAATAGAACATATATTTTCAAAATTGTAAACCAGTGTAAAAATTTTATAACAATTCAACATTTTGTATTACGTTTTTTTTTACTTGGAGTTTTCTATTAATTTTTCGTGCGAAATTAATGTCAGTACTAGCTTAAAGCGAAAATAGTGGCTTTAAAGCAAAAAAATAGAATTTATTTTTTCTAGTTTGTTAAACAGTGTAATTAACTTTTATGTAATTTAATTAATCTTAGTTAATCATTCAAATTCTTCTTCTTCTTCCTATACGTATTCAAATATTAGAGCTATCACTGTTTGTTGTGGCATTTACTGTTGTATTGTTTATAAGACGAGTAAAAATTTATAGTTTTACAATAGTTCACTCACTGTATAAGAGATGCTGGTCTGTAGATCTCCCACATTTAATTAATTTTTATTCATAAATATACATCTATTGTTTTTTCTAAATTTGCTTAGAGCAGCTTTTTTACTGTGAAGCTCTCCACATCTCATTTTTTTGAAATCAGCAAAATCGATTAAAAAACTATGAGAAGTGAAATCTGGTTTTTGTTATTTTTTAAAGACGCTGATTTGTCGTTATAGCAAAGGTTAATCTATTAAGTTGTGCTCAGCTCAAAGTAATAATACTAAATAAAATTATATGATTACCATATAATCATTATAGTGGCTCATGTTTAAGTGAGCCATTAGTTAGAATAATGTTTTTTTAAATATGTACATGCAATCCAAGGCAATAATCCAAAAGTAGTGCGACTAACAACTTCCAGTTTGTCGATTGTTGGTGTCGATTTATCAGCAACTTTCTTAATACTTAAACCTGAAATAGTATCTGAAATGAACTGAACTGAGCTGAAATGCACAAGGCGAAGCACAGCACTCATATCTGAAAAGCTTTGTGAAAGTACGAGTAATCGCATTTCGTTCGCAATCCATGAGTGTTAGATTATCTGGAATGCTATTTAGCGTGTTCGCCGATGTCAGTGTGACGGAGCATTATTATTATATGGTATATATATTTTTTTTTGAATTCTTTGTTAGTATTGTTTATAATTATAAAATTTAAATTGACATCGGTGTTTTTATTATAATTCGCCAATAAGAAATATTTTATGAGAATAAACATCATAGCTTCAGTTTGAATTGAACATTGGCGTGAATAAGTACGGCTATAGCAAGCGGAATTAATTTAGAATTTCAATTTCAATTTCAATTTAGAAAAGTGCATTTTGTATACTATATAAATTCGTATGTTTCATTAAATAAATAAATTCCAAAAAAAAAAAATAAAAATGGTTGTGCTTAGTAAGTTATATAGCGAAAGCTTACAAAAGATGTGCTGCAATGAAATTATACACTCGCGCGGTTGTACTGATAATCTAATACATCAGATACCGAAATATATACAGTCTAATATGAAGTATTTTGCCGTATTGACACTTGTAAGTAATTGAAATCGTGATAAGGTACAAGTGTCGATATCTCTATTATAATTCATGTAAAATTTATAAATTTATTATTTGAACAAACAATTACAGTTGCCGCTATTGCTGAAGATAAATAAGTTAAATAGAAAAATTGTGAAAGATACTTTGACTTATTATGCTAATACAGTATTCTCTGGATTTCAATTAGCTGTCTTTATTAATATACTAATTTGCGCATTTCGGTTAGTTAATCTATATTGTTTACTTTTTATACGAATATATTGTAAATGTATGCGAATATTTAATTATTGCAGAAGACGTCCAGAACTCTTTGGACGTTATAATATAATGTTTCTACCAGTATTTATTAGTGGATTAGCTATACATTTTTTTTGGGTTGCACCAAGAGTAAAGCAATTATTTGGAGCCAGCATTTTGCAAGTGGTAAGTAAGTAAGAATTTAAACTGATCTATACATAAGATATAAGAATCGGATTATACATGAAATCTATAGTTTTAGATATAAACTATTAAGTTATAATTGGATAAACATAAGACATAAAGATCAGATTTCACAAGAAATCTAAATTTTTAGATATAATAACTATTAATTATTAGAATCTATTAACTATTAGATAACTATTAAGTTCTAATTGAATAAACGGCTACGAACAGTCAATAAGTCAATAATATATAATAATATTTTTGTAGCGAGTAACAAAAATAATAATTTTATTGTGACAATTTACTACTGTTTAAAATGGTTATATATATATAGAAGTATTATGTTAAGAATTTATTGTCTTTCGTCAAAACAGACGTTAAAAATCAATATAATAAAATAATAATTTAAAAACTAAATTAGAACGACAAATAAAATAAATAACAAGTTGAATATAACTTAATCGATCCATACTTTTAAATTAAACAAAATAGAATAAAAAGTACCTAGGGAACGTTAGGTTACGTTGGAGTGACGGCCTTGTACACCAAAGTCTACTTCAGCTCAAATAACGGCACGTTGTTATGCCATAATCTATGGAAACCAGAAGGCACCTTAAGAGAACGATAGTGGTCAACAACCAAATACCACTAAAAGTCACGACTTCTTCATTTAAGTAAAACTGTAACAATATTGAGAAGTAATATTGAGAAGTCAATATACTTGGGAAGGTTTCTAATTTTAAAGGATAACAGCTCTGTATGGTCGGTAATAATAGGGATTGCAAAGACTTTTAATCGTCTATTGGCCAAAGATAAGCACTGACGAAAAAGTGAAACATGGATTCTTTTTCCACTTCAAAGCTACAAATATGACAAAATCATTAAACGGTAGACCTAGTCTCATATATAGTGACCAACACTACACCGGTAATGTAGTGTTGAGCATGTTCCGCTTTGCTTCCAGAATTTTTAAGCTATAATCTCATACTTTTGTTTAGTTGCCACCTTGAGTGTTGCAAGTGATTAGATTTATCTAACATTCTGATGAAAAAATAAGAAAAGCTTAGTTAAAAAACTAATATTTTTTAAAACTTTTTATCTGAATAGATTCAAATAAAATGTTAACAGCACTGTTCAAGTCTCAAAGTGTCCATTCAACTATTTTTAGCAGCAAATCGTTGATTTCCTTAATGTGTTGTTTTTCACTTGATGTTCATGGTCAATCTCGAAAGTGTTTATACTACTAATAATCAACTTTTCGTAACATAAAAGGATGACAAAACTTTCGCAATAGTTTGGGATGAAGAATATGTGGTAGTATAGGGTAGATATAGGAAAAGGGTTGAAAATTGAATCTTATCTTGATTCAAGTGAAGAAATTCTGACACCAAATTTGCCATATTTGGTTATATTCAAATACTTTTAATACTTAGTGTAGGTATAACATATACTACATATATATTGTATAAGTATTGATAGATTGATACTAATTGATTTCAATTTTACTTTTACTTTCAATTTTATTTCTGGTCATGCCCATAAACGAAATGCAGAGAATCAAATCATTAGCGCCTAATTTTCAAATTTTTAATTTACATTGAAAATAACTATACCACATTTTACGTGATCATGACCGATTGTAGATGGATGGAAAAAGTCCCACTGGTCATAGATATAATAGATGAACAATTAAACTTTATTGATTTAAAGTTAAGTACTATTATTAATGAGATATCAAAAAAAATTTAAAGCAATTAAATTTAAATTTACTAATAATGCTTGTCCAAAAATTTTGCAATGTTTTTGGACAAGGCTACATCTAGTCTAAAGTATTTTGGTTCATTTTGTTGATGTCTTATATATTATCGAGAAACAGTTTATTATTATTTTCAGATTTAATAGGTCAAAATACAGTAGTAGTTACTAATTTAGTCCTGCGCAAAATTAGTTAATCTTGAAGAATGAATAATCTTTTTAGAATTAGAAATGTATTTATATTACTAGTACCTAGAACACATAAGGCTAGCATAATTGAAATAATTATTTTGGTGTAAGGTTTGCTATTTTGGAAAACTTCCTTTTGATTTAACGGAATATATATATTATTGTCATTAATCACTTTTAAAGGAAACATCAACTATTTTATAAAATTTTGGACTGATAAAGCTTTTAAGTAACGGATAATAGTTAAATCATGTACGTAGCCTCCAAAGCATCGTCTATAAACGTAAGCTTTGATTAGATAGACTAGACAATTGATACCCAGGGGAAACATTAAAAAAACAATAAATTCTTGAAGTTGCACTCCAAACAACATAAGTAACTGATTCGAAAGGTAAACTACAAAAAGATTAAAAAGAGGCAGTCTTTCTTAGCAGAGCTAATTTTACTAATTTTGATGACTCCCTCGTTAACTATAGATATATGGTATATGAATCATTATCAATAAACTGAACTGGCATTCGTTTTAAAGTGGACAATTTAATTAATAAATGATCTTCATAGACTTAAAGGCTCGCTAATAAACATAGCATAAGATTAAATTTGATAACTGATAACTGATCCAGGTCTCTTGCAATGGCAAAGAGACACCGAACTCTTGACAAAAGGACCTCATTCATAAAAATAAATATAGACTTCAAAAACATTACAAGGAGGCATTATTCCTTATCAGAACAGAGTTAAGGTTGTCAAGAGGTAGCCTATAACATTTGGCTGTCATACACAACAAGATAACTCTGTCTAAAAATTGATAAACTGTCCAGTAACGCTCTTTATAGTTGCCCGAGTTTTCCCTGACGCAAAACTATTATACAAGTGCGAGAATTTTAAATCCACTTTGTAAATTTTTGATCCACTTTATAAATAGAAACTTCCATTCAATTAGGGTCAATTTTAGAATAAAGGCTGTTTAAAAATCATTTTATTCTGCTATAATGGATTCCAAAATTGCTAATGTGTACGACTTCAGAGAATATATGCCATAACAAGACTTTCTGGAATTTATTTTAATTTTCTAGGTTTTGAAATTAAAAAACTTCTGAATTAACCTTAAATTTTTTTTGAATTAGTTTCGTAGCTTGGAATTATAATCGGAATTAATCGGAATTATAAATGTAATCGTATCGTAATGCTCAAAAATCATGGACTAATAATAAATAAAGTTTCTCATATATAACGATTAAAGTATTAACAAAATACGGAATCAGTTTTAAATAAATTTTATTACAATTCCAATATAAATTATACTCGCTCATTATATTATATATCACTTTACGTCGCTAAAAACTTTTGACACTTTATATATTACATACTCATATATGTCATATATATGGTGTACGAAATATGTTATTGTCACTTTATTTGAATAATTAATTGTAATTTATTAACTAATTTCGAATGCAATAAATACTTTGTAAACGTGAATTAATTAGAATAAATTTTATTTAACGTGTACTCCTATGTGCTAATTATCACTATAAATACCCCACAATCGAATAATTATTTTTTGAAGATAACTTTCGTTATTAATTTTAAGTAATTTTAACAAATAATAAAAAACTTAAAAATATAATAATATTCAGTGGATTAAATAAAATTGTGTCAATTGTTTCTGCACTGTATTATCTGTAGCTTATGGTATTCATAGGGGATCTAACCCCTACTTCTCCACTCTAAGTTTATTGGATAATTAAGTGGAAATATGTTTGAATTCGACTTTTCACTAAGAGTAATAAATCATTGAACAATGTATAGATATGATAATGTATATAAATTATAAAATATCACATTAACTCTCTGCTAAAAATAGCAATATATGGAAACTTCTGTACTACTATTGCAAATAATAGATGTAATTTTATTTTACAATTGTAATTGAAACATCAAAGGTCTACTAATCTTTATTATAATTGGATAAAATACTTAACAAAGAAATTACAACTATTCTATAGCTTGAAAAGTCGGAGGTATAAAATAAATATATATATAGCATATATATTGGAAAATTTATACACTATAGGCTTCCACAATAAAACAGAATGAGAAAAATATTTCCAAGAGCTTCGTAACCCATACTTAAATTTTTAATATTTTAATTATAACTTTTTTAATTCGCCGACATTTCCCAATATATAACATATTACTCTGTAGTCATAGTGTATGATATATAAGTATTATACCTATATAGTATGATATATTTTAATACTTACATGTATATAATGTCTATAATTTTTTACAAATCAAAATATATAATTAGATTTAATATTCTTTGGCTTTTATTTAAAGATAATCCAATTTCCAATTTTTATAACAGATAATAAGAGTTCTTCATATATATGTAGTTACTATTAAATTTATGAGAGTCTTCTAATGGAAACTAATGACAGTTTTTAAAATAAAGTATAATTTTTAAACATATAAAACTTAAGTTTTAATTTATGAGACCCTTCAGATTATAATTTATGTGTGTCAAACTAATAAAGTTTCATAATTTATGTGAGCCATTATCTAATCAATCTCTATTCTAAATCTTAATAAAGAGCCATCTTTATCTATATGGGTTTCAGGAATTTCTTGTATTGCAATTTACCGGTAAAAAACAGTGAGCGCTCTAATAAAAAACTAACTTCTTACAAAAAATATAAAAATAAGAATATATATAACATGTGCTAATACTCGTAATTGCGATAGTGATATATGAATGAAAACACCACAATTTACTCTAATCTCTAAAGAAACTGTGACTGCTATACATATAATATCGTATATGGTATATGGAATATAAAAGCATTTTAAGTATTATGTGTTGTTACAGAACTACGTGGAACAACAGAGTGGGGCAAACGTCGAAAGAAATAGGTGGCTGAAGTAGTAACAGATATAGAAAATATCATATTGCATAGTTGTAGAACTAAATCCAGAGATAAGGAAAGCTAAATGGAAACATGATTAGGTGCTCTGAGATTATGATTATTTCAGAATTGTTTTTTATTATCGTAGTCATTGTTTTAATGCATATTAAATTTATTATAAGAAAAAAAATAATATTCCATTTGAATAGCTAATTACGTATGTATGTAAAACGATCCAATGTGTTTATGTTTATGAGATGGCTAAGGATGAATTCAGACAATTGGTATTTATCACAAAATATTCCCCACTTAATAAGAATACATTGTTATTGTGATATATTATAGATAATAATGATTATCTATCTATTATTTTTTGTCTTACAAAATGTCTACTTTATTAAAATAGATCAAATAATATATCATAATTATGTTAATTCTCCCATTTTTTAGTTGTTATTTTATAATTTTTCATTCATTAATTAATTATACAATATGTGCTATAAAAACTAGTTTTACTTTATATGTACTTAAGATTCAAAAACGTTGAAAATTAATTACCATTATTAAATTACATTTTTATCTATTCATGCAAAAGCCATGTATAGTAATTAAATAATTTTATTTAATTGCTCTAAAGTATTTTTTTTGAGAATAAAGAGTACTAAAATTTAAAGAAGTATTATTCAGCACTCTCTTATTATATATATTTTTATTATTTTCACCTTAACAGAAAACTTTTACTAGTAAGACGATCAGATTACGAGAATTATAAAAGCTTTGAAAAGCTAATGAATGATCATGATCAGCTAATGAAGAATTAATAAATTAGAAGTTTACATGTAGTGGATAATAATACTGGGTAGCAAGATTTTTGCACTAAATATAAAGATATAATGTAATTTGGGTCAATGAAGACGTATTCATGGGAATAAAAAAAGGTTATACATTATATATATATATACTTTGCATATTTGTAATTTTTTTTGGAAAGACTATATGTGATTGTTATACCTTTAGATCACTTCTAAAGAAATGATCTGCCTGAAATATTTTTAATAAACCGCACTTTAAGATATTTGCTCTACAAGTATAAAACCAACTATGAAAATGAATGTTTTCATGCGTGTTGATATATTAGCCCCGCTTCAAAACCAAGTCAGGAGAAACTATTGTTGTAAAGATAAAATCTGTGGTTTTTTTAATAGTATATACCTGTTACTATTTCTGCATACCGAACTGTAACTGAGCCAGCAGTTCTAGTGATTAGGGGTATCATCTCTATCGATCTCCAGGCACATGAACGGAGAAAACGCTGGAAACAGAGATCGACAAACAATTCAACAGGCACTCAAGATATAAGAAAACAAACTTTTCAGATCTGGCAAAGCTAATACCAAATGTAAAGTCGTGGACTGAAAGAAATTTCGGTGAGATTGAGTATTATGTCACACAGTTCCTATCTGGTCATTGATATTTTTGAAAATATCTATACAGAATGCAATAAGCAGAGCAGCCCAACTGTATATACTGCGGATCCGTCGAGGACATATATTTTCTCCAAATGCGAAAGATGACATGGAGAAAAAACACTACTTACAGAATATATAGGTCACTTTACAGTCGAAAATATCGTTGAAAAAATGATAGAACGAACAGAAAATTGAAACAAAATCACAGAATTCTTTGGAAATGTGCTAAGGGAAAAGAAGAAAGATTTGGACGCAAACTAATCTAAAACGAAGAGCAATCTGATGACATTCCCATTCGGATCAGGAGTGAGAGCCGGAACACACATTCTGAGATTGAAAACAAATACACTGCAACGGTATCACACCCAGATGAAGGGAAAGATAAATCATCTGAAATAGTAACGGGGCCTAGACGTAGTTCACACCGATGGAAGTCTTAAATGACTAATAGGGACCCTACCTCGAAGTAATACCAACGTAGTCCCGGGGTAGACAAAGGTCTCTAGGAATTAGGAGGAATGGTTTAGTCCGTGCGAGTCGGACACTCACGTTCCGGGGCACTGGATTGTGGTTAGTGCGTAGGCATTCTACTCTTCTTTGCCGCAAAAAAAAAAAAATATACATGTTACTATAACTACATACTGTATAGAGCATAGGGCGTCAGCAAAACTTCTTCAGCAACAAACGCAATTTCGTCGTTCAACTCGAAGATCTTAAGTACATCAAGTGAGATTAGTTCAACATTTGTCAAACGGGGCAGGTCATGCACTACGTGTAAACGCTTCTAACTGTTAGTTACTGTCTTCCTGATGATATTTGTTTTAGTAATTTTAAAGGAATATTCAAAACTTTGAAAATCGAAGTCGGTAATAGAGTAAAAGTGCAAAGTGACATAACATAATGCATTTATAGTACATGTATTTTGTTGTTGATACTTCACAATATTACCAGCTTACTGTATTACCGAGCTCGTTACTTGAAATCGTGAATATCCGACCAGACATCTACTATATGTGAATACCCCTAGAATTTGTTATAGTAAGAACCCGGAAGATTTGAATAGTACGACTGAGAAATCTAAATAAATGAATAAACGTAATTTTTTCTAAAGATCAATTAAAATAAAGTATATTAATTAACTCATAAGGTGTTATATTATAATTATTCACACTAGAGATTAGAGTTATGTATACAAAAAGTCAAAGGTGATTTTTAAACGGGAAGAATCAGAGATAAATCCGCGAGATGACAAAAAAACCATTAATCTTAATAATATAATTATTATTTTTAATTTGAATTAAAAGTTAATTATATAATTAAATATTCTATATGATTAATTTTTAATAACAGTAATTATTATGATAACTGTTTTTTTACTTTTAAATAACAAATAAATTAATATAATAATTATATTTATTTTTTCTTTTTTTTATTTAAAGACTATTGATTCAGTATGTTTGAGACGTGAAAATGTTATTACCCGAGCCATTGCAAATTCTAAAGGAGTTAGAACATTAATATTTATGTTTTGTAGTGCGATTATTCTCCATGCCAAACAGAAAAAACTTTGTAAAACATTTTGGATCGTAACGCCAAATGAACAACCCATAAAGGAATCATCACCCGAGATCGAAAATAGCAATATACAGATTTTCGAGAACGAAAATAATAATATACCGAATTCACTATGTAATCACAAAACCAGCTGTAGGGCACATGTTTTAACGGGTTTGCGAAATTATCTTACAATTGGTCTTTCACTCGATACCATAAAAATGGTGATGAGCAGAATTCCAAAAGATGTACCTTATAATACATTTATTTCAAAACTTTGGGCTAAATTAAAGAACTATCAATTTAATACTACTGCATTGTTAGCTGCATCTGTAGGAATATACAGGGTAAGTTGAATAACCGTTAAGATCAATATAATATATTGAAATGAATATAATTTTAAGTCTTTTAAAGAACCATATATCTCTGAATTAATAGTTTAGTAGATTATATATTAATGTTAAAGATAAAAAAATAATCACTTAAAAAAATGATATAATCACTACCTCTTTGATAATGATCTCGAATGGAATAATAAAGAAATTGAAAAAGAAGTATATTTCTTAAAAAATTACGTTTGGGTAATATTTTCTAAATAACCCGAAGTAGTAGTTTCAAATTTCAGAATCAAAACCCATTTCTATTTCTATTTTTTTTTATCACTAATTACTTATTTATGACAGATTTTTTTTAAACATAAAAATTTCGATTCAGGGTAATCATAGGAGATCCGTTAAGAGAAGTACTTATCTCTACTTTCTTTAGCTTGCCAATAACAAATGGAAGGCACTTAGGGCATGTGCAACTTCAGATATATTCAGGGTAATCACAAGAGAACCGTTAAGAGAAGTACTTATCTCTACTTACTTCAGCTTGTCAATAACAAATGTAAGGCACTTAGGACCTGTACAACTTCAGATATATTCAGGGTAATCATAGGAGAACCGTTAAGAGAAGTACTTATCTCTACTTTCTTCAGCTTGCCAATAACAATGGAAGACACTTAAGGCATGTGCAACTTCCCAGTTAACTTGACTCGCCTACAATAAAACTACATCTTGTAAACTTATCAAAAGGGATTTTGTGATTTGATAAATTGTACATTCCTAATAATACTTACACCTAAAGTTGTGGAAACCTGCAGAACAAAGAAACCATTAAATACTTTCTCTGTGAATGCCCGGCTTTGACGTCCAGAAGAAGTATATTTTTAGGGAGGTATTTGTTTGACAGCTTATCGGACTGTTCATCAGTAAGGACGAAAGACCTACTAAATTATCTAAATTTGGCTGTCTCGATTTGATCTGTAGTCTACTATTTAAGCAATCAACACACCCTTGCCTAAAGATATTACACCATTCCACCATAAGTCAAAACTAAACTTATTTTCTAATTATTTTTCTTATTTTTATTTATTTTCTCTAATCATACGTCTATTGCAAAAACATATATTCCCGAAACCACATATTCTTAGTACAGGTTCGTAAAATAAAAATTAATTATTAAAGTAAGTTGAAATAGTAAATATATAAGGCTCTAATCCTATATTCATAGTCAGACTTAT